CCCCAAAAGACAACATAATACAGATGGAGGAGAGGAATAAATAGTTACTTTTTCTAAATTTGACACTAGCAGAAACTATTCAGCACTGCAGTTTTGTTGTCAGTCATTTGTAAATACCTTGTATCACTTCCTGATAGTATAAAAAGTTAACACAAGTTTCCTGCACACTAACTACCATAATTGTATACTAAGAAGATAAATACATAATGCATTAGTATATAGGGTATATTTGAAACAAATCTCCAGCGTGTTCCTTGATTAAACGCAACCTGTGGTCAATAGAGGGCACTAGAGGCCAACTGTCAACTGTCTCTTGGCATTAAATGTGATTAAACTTAAGTTTCTGGGCAGCATACTCACAGCTAACAGTCTATCCCCAACAGTAAGAGCGCAGTCTCTGGCAGCTGGGCTGCCTGGAGCCAAAGTGGCAACAAACACCCCACTTTCCAGACCTATGCCACTGTCTGAGAGGTAAGACAGAAAAAGAATCAGAACAGAAATCATATTACACATCATGTCCATCCATCCATTCATCCATCCATCCATCCATCCGTCCGTCCGTCCAAAACAAAACCCTCAAATACACAATGAAAAATAAAAACATCAATGTCTACTGTATTTAGTGTACTGGAATGTCATTAATTGACTGTTAAAAGCAGCATTTTAATGGTAAAGTTTATTTCTTAATTGGAGCTCGAAACTGACCTTTGTGTCCAGCCAGGTTTATCTGGATTGGAGTGATAATCCGTCCTCCCAGTGACTTCCTTCTACGAACCACCATGTTGATCACTCCCTCACCGCTCAGTACCGCTTTGATCACCTGCTTCCTATCCTTATTGGTCAGGTCCACATCATTAATTTTCAACAACCAATCGTTCACCCTGTACAGAGAGAACAGAGTGATGGTTCAATGAATCCAATCAAAGATTTATTTATTTTTATCTATTTTTTATAATCAAAATCTTTAGTTTTTCCAACTTTAGACAATAATTTATTTAGGTAAACACACTGCACTGAGCAGTTTGGCATATTTTATTTAAAAAAGAGAATACAATTTGCTTTATTTACAGCAGTGAGATATTTACCTTAGTCTTCCTTCAGCCATACTTCCTTTATCGACCTTACTGACAAATATACCACAATCTCCTGGTAAATAAGGATCATTTACCCCTTCAGCGATATCAAACCCCAGTGCTTTCAAATCCATATCCTGGATAAGACAAAACATAGCTAATTTAGTTACAGTTTGACGGTACAAAAAGTTATTTTACTGAAAATAACAAGCTCGCAGTGGTTCTTACTCTGTGCTTCTCAAATTCTACAACTTCCGTCTCCCATTCCATTGAGTCTGTGTCAATGGCTGAATCATGTGAACTGTGAGCCATTAGCTGACGAAACCTGGCTTCCTTTTCTAACTGGTCCTCCATCTTTTCTCTGCAGGAAACATAAAAGGTGTATCTCTTAAACAAGCACAGCCTTCAGAAGTGATGTGAACTTTGCACAGGTAGTGACATAATTCATCCACTGGGTGGCACAAAAGATCAGGTATGAAATCTACATTGTGGATCCCCAAAACAAAAGGAGCACAGACTGTGACGCAGGAAGAGACTTCAGGTTTTGAACCTAAAAATAGTGTAGAAGATGGCATCAGCCTGGCAAGAAGTTTAAAAAGAATTGTGTGGAGGAATGACTCACTTTAATTCTTTGAGTTCCCGTGCAGCATCGTTCTTCTGTTTCCTTGTGTCATCCAGATTTCTTAGAGCATCTGCCAGATCACTCACAGCTCTGTCCCTCTCTCGCCTCAGGTTGTCACACAGCGTGCTGACAGATGCACACATTTTAATAATGTGTCACACAAAATGTAAACAAACCTATTTTTGTCCAAGTCTTTCTTCACTAACACGCAATGTAACAAACAGAGACTCCTTACCGTATGCTCTCCCTCTCTGCCACTATCTTGTCCCTCTCCTGAAAGGCCCAGTCGCGTCGACACTTGGCTACCTCGGCCTCTTGCAGGGCCTCCTTCAGCTCCTGAGAGATGGCCTCATACTGCTTCCTCAGTATATCGATCTCTTTGTTGGCTCGTTCCATGTCCAGAGTGGCAGAGTCTTGTTTCTGAATTGAGAAGAAGCAAATGTAAGATGATGAAGGTCAATGCACAATTGTACAAAAGATGTGAGCAGCAAGGTGCTTTTGATCCAGTATTGTGCTTGATGTTATGGTAGACAAGGACTTTGCTAAATTTGATAATTTTACAGTTTGTGAGACTTTATGCTTTCTCCCCTGCAACAACTATTTATGGAGACACTTGAGGCTGTGTTCATCACGACATTAGCACAAAAATTCAGCATCCTCATTAACCTGGCTCTACTTATGCTGCAACGCAATGTATCATCATCTGGCAACTCTTCACATTTGCCAGTGAAATACATGCAAACACTCATTTGTGGTGGGCTGCTTTATAAGAGTAAAGAGAGTAAAATCTAATGGTATTATCAGTCTCTATGCAGTGTTATAGCATGTGTTAAGCCTTCAAACCCATTGATCTATTGCTTAAACTGGACTTTCAGGCTCCTTTGAAGCAACACATCCACAGCACTGAAGCCCTTTGTATTTTCAAGGCCAATCAATTTTCCAGCACAAGATGAAAACTCACATATTTACTGACCTCAAGATGACATTTTTTATCATATTGAACCATAAACACCTCAAATAAATTGCAGCAAACTAAAAAGCTTCCACCCATGCAGTCTTGTAAAGGTGGTTTGATGCGTGACAGTCACAGATCGGATTAGGTAGTATGGTTTGAAGTGGGTCAGATGTAATATATTAAGTGTACTTCTCACTGAGAGTCTACTGGTGTATCCGCACATGCTCTAAATAACTGTACAGTAGGGAGACTGCCAAGTGTAGTGAGAGCATTAATTAAGTCCATAGCTAAATTAATTCCATTAGACTTGTGCTGTGCTCTTGTTTGGCTTAATTATCCATTTCTGATGCGGTGCAGTTTTCTTTGTGCACTTCAAAGTCAGAGAGCCTTTTCTCTGTAATTGCTGGTAATTCCCTAATGCAGGAATCTCAGCACTTTCATTGCAATTAATCTGACAATCACACAGGAACAGTGTGGCAGCTGATATGCACGTTTCTCAACAAAAATCAATGTGTGGAAAGTCGCCAGCTGCTGAAAAAAACATTTACTACTACTATATGAGATGGGATGAAGGGATTATTGTCAGAGGAATAAATCAAGCCCTCCACTTGTAATGATAAATCTCCCGTCTGTCTGGCTACCTGTCTGGCCTGGTAATACTCTCGCAGCAGCTGGTCCCTCTGGATAATGGCCTCCGTCCTCTCCTTGCGCGCCACGTCCCTCTCCTCCCGCACCGTCTCAATGTCCTTGCAGGCCTGACTCAGCTCCTTTTGGGCCTCGGCCTTGTCCTTCACCTCGTGGCAGTATTTCTCCAACAGCTCGTTCTTTTCACAGATGGCCCGGTCCCTGTCCATCAGTGCTGAAGCCAGCTCCTTCGTAACACACAAAAACATGTCACAAGTGGATGATAGAGATCAGAAGTGAGTAAATACTCATAACTTTCTGATTCTTCTGTGTAAGATAGTTTTTATTTTTAACTTTGATGAGAATTTCGATGTTTAAAGCACTTTTTTTTTTTTAAATGCTTTTATTTTGTATTGTTTCTTCTACATATCTGTACATAGGTATATTTCTTGTGCAGTTGTGACAATGCTTGGGAATCAATACAATCTTATCTCATCTCACAGAACAAAATGGGTGCTACAAAGAAAACTTGCTATCAGGTGAAAAACTGAGGATTACACAGATTTTTTTCCCCTATTTTTTGTAATAGCTGTCCATTTGTGTTGTCCGGTTTGGGTTTTATTTTTTGGCTCATCCTGAACTGTAGCCTTTCAATCCCAATAATGACACACGATTACTTTTTGGCCAGCCTAAATAAGTTCTGGATGTTGCCAAAATTAATGATGACAGCAGCTAAAACCAGCTTAACTACAGTCGATACATTTGGAACACAGATATTATGCAATAAGTAATTCTTAATCAAAAAGTTTACTTACATTATCTTCCACATACAGCATGAAAAGTAGCCTTGTCAATTTGAAGCAATGATCTCCTAGTCCTTAATGTTTAAATGTAATTTAATTCTTACCTGTCTGAGAGCCTCCAGCTCCTCGTTGGCCACTCGTCTCTCTGAGGAAGTGTTCTTCAGCTTCGCCTCTGCCATCTCCAGCCCAGTCTGAAGCCGGTCCACCTCTTTGATCACCTGGTCCCTCTCGCTCATGATCAGGCGGTACTCGCTGATCACGGAGTCCCGCTCCTCCTTGTATTTCTCACTGTCTTTCGCCGCCTTGAGCTGCTGGGTCTTCAGTCGCGTCACCTCTGACTGTAGCCGCTCCATCTCGCGCTGCAGCTCCTTGTTCTGGGCTGCAGCCTTGGACAGTTCTTGTTGGGTGTTGTCAAACCTGTACCACATAGGGAATGTATTGGGTTTTTACTGCTCTTTACAAAAAGTCACCATAGGCAGATGAATATACAAAAATAATAAAAAGACAGATAGGCAACAAGCAAGTGACCAAGCTTGAAATCTCAGCATCATAAAGGAAAAAAGTTAAATTGGAAAAGCATCTGCCCATCTGCAAAGCTTCATCTGCCTTGGATTAAGAATGTTTTAAGCACTGTGCAGATTTGACCTTGGCATTGAACTCAAGTACTGAGTTTCTAGCAAAGTTTGCAGCAACTGCTGTTAATCATTAGACAATTTTTTCAACAGCTGCTGAGTATGTGTGTACAGCTTTTAGTGCTGCTGGTCGTGTGTGTGTCTGTGTTATTTTCCACCTTCTTATAGACGAGGAGTACTGGTGCTGATAGTGGATGGCAGCGTCTCTCTGCTTCAGAAGCATGTCCAGCTGTTTCTGCAGCCTGTGGTTCTCCTCCTCAGCCTGGTCCAGACGACTCAGGTCTGCGTTGTGACCAGCTGTCTTCTCGTTGTAGCGCTTCCTCAGAGCCTCGTAGTCACTCTTCATGGCCTCCAACTTGTCCACAGCTGTGTCATACAGCTTGTTGAGGACGTCAGATGACCCCTCTCTCATCACCTGGAAATGACATCATTCAGGTAGAGTGGCACAGCTTGTTTCATCTATTCATGGTGCATTTAAATAAGGAGAATATGGATGCTGCCAAACGCTGTAATGGAGTGTTTCAATATAATTATGTAAGGAACGCCTTTCATGATTTCCTTTATTCAATTTCATTTACATCTATAATTCAGCTTAGCTTTAATGTAAAGTCTTAAACATAATTGTCTTGGCACAGAAAAGTTACCTCATCTCTTAAGTAATCAACTAAAGCTTTAGGCCCTCAGCTGTATGCTGAGGTAGCAAGCCAGAGCAAGACTTAAAGCCAGATACTGTATAGCTCAGACTGCCTAAAACTCTTTTTGGCGCTCTGGACAACAATACAAAATTTTAAAAATAAGAGAAAAGCAACCTTGTTAAGTTTCACAATGTTTGTAAAAACATAACACCACATTTTTTGGGGGGTTCAAAGAAACTCTGTTGCATTTTGCTGTTGGGTTTAGTTTGTTTAGTCTGTTGTTAAAGTTGTCACTTTGAACTCTGGTGTGGATCCAACAAATGCACTGAGACCAGTTGAACAGGTGGGTCTCTCATCAGCTTCCACTAGTCTTCCCGGAGTCCAAAGACTGTGGTGCAGTCAGTGGACAGGACTGTACGACAGTAGTATAGATATGTGATATTAGTTATAAATTCATGAGCTAAACTACAATTCTGTGTACTCAATCTATGTGCTGATCACAGGAAAAGTGGAGAAAGAGATACTGGGGCACTTTGGTGATATAGTTGTTAACATAACAACACTGTGGTCAGTTTGATTATGATTTTGAAACCTTTGTTGCACGTCACACCTCCTTCACTCTCCCAATGCCTCTATACTGAACAACTAAAGGTAAAAATGCCCCAAAAAATCTAAAATACAAAAATAATCCAAGAAACAGCGTAAAATTACATATGGTAACTTGGAGACACAAGCGCATCAGCAGTGCAGCACTTTTCCTGATCAGTGATTGTGCCTCTGTACCACTCCACAGATTTTGTCAGTTTCTTATTAAAAATAAAATAAAATAAAATAAAATAAAAATATCTGTGAAACATAATGGCCACACATCTATCCTATCCTCGATAATATTACAGTACAAAACACCTTGTTTTGTCCCGTTTCTATTGTCATTATTTATGACATCTAACCATCACAATAACCATTTTGTGCAGCGTGACTCTCAGTTACTTACTATTATAAACCTCATTTAGATTTTCCCCTGCAGGTCCGTGTAGTGCTGATGGTGATGCATGAGAGTCACCAAAACTGCCCAATGAATGAGATGTCACTCCATAATTAAGCGATATTATTATTACCCCTTGTTTTTGTCTGTTTTATGAATACAAATAAGTAAGTAGGCTTACCCCTAACCTAAATCATACATACAACATACATTTCCTTCCAGATATATATATTTATTTTTCTAGTAAATTACCATATAAGCATACCATATAAGTCATGGATAGAGCGTCAAAAAGCTAGAGGACAAACCAGGATATGTTTCACACAAGGTAAAGTACAGTATGTAATATGTCACTGGCATCTAAAAACTACACAATAAAGGTCGACTTCAGACTGACATCACTGAGCTAATTTGATTCCTAATTTGACTGAAGCTGAACATCAGTTTACCCAATGATGACATGAGCTCTGAGGACAATGAGGCATGTATCTTTGCTATCAAAAAGCCATGTAAGACATTCCCCAGGGCTATGTAAGCTATTGCAAACATTTAATGATCTGACCTTCTGAGTGAATGTCCGTCGGAGGAACAGTAAAAGACACAGGTTAAGTCATTTGTCTAATCTGTACGAATGTTTTGACTGACGGAGACACGGCCGGACAAGCTTGTCTGACCCCATTTCTTTGAACGATGTCTTTGAAGTAATGCTCACCGAGAAAGAAATACATTGATTTCTGTCTCAAATGTCAAGATCCAAATGATGGAATCTCCAGGGCAGTCGGAGACAGGAATGAGTGTGCAAGTGCTACAGTGTGTGCAGACAATATGCACCTGATTATGTCTATGAATGTATTCTCATTCTCTGTAGCTGTATAAGCATGAATATAGCTGGGATTAGTTCCACGGGTACCTGCTGGTGCAGCATCCTCATGTCAGCCACCTCTCTCTGGTCATCGTCGTGCAGCCTCCTCAGCTCCTCGCAGGCCTGCTTAACGTGGTTGTGCTCCCTCACCAGCTGGATGTTGTCCTGTCTCACTGCCTCCAGCTCATCTTTTAACTGTGCGTGCTCACTCGCCATACGGCTGTGCAGCGTACTGAGGAGATACCAAGGCAAGTAACATCAGACCGTAGGCACTGCCAGCCATGTTTAAAATCATCATTACAGTACTTGTAGCCAAGGAAAGGTATGACTAGGCCTTTTAAGTCACAGACCAACAATTACTCAACAAATTATTATGCAAGATGCATTGTTTACTCTATAGAACAAATGTCATGCCAATCACAAGTTCCTAGAACCCAGGGTGAGGTCTTTAAGTTGCTGACAGTCCAAAACCCAAAGATATTCGCTTTACAATGACTTAAACTGTGAAAAAAGCAGAAAATCCTCACAATACAGAAGCTGGAAACAGATGATATTTGGCGTTCTGCTTAAAAAACTACTTAAATGATTAGGAAAATGTCTATTGATTACTGTTATTTCCTTTCAATCAATGAATCATTTCAGCACTCTTTAATTTCTTTAAATTAATTGGACTTTGACATTAATTCATGGATTTTACAATCCCTAGTTATGTGCATATTTTTAGATGTGTTCCGCTAAAGCACATACCACTAACTTTTTAGGCTCTTATGATGCTCAGTAGAACAGTAGATGAGCATGTTGGACTGGCACACATCCAACATGCTCATCTACTGCTTTATTTCCACCCTTAAAGTAAAAATCAATGGTACTCTCTCATGCACCCTGATATGCAGTAGTTAGATACTGTGGAATAAAACAATTACAAGGTACTCTTATGAGTATTGTCTTAAGACACTTCTTTTCATCCCCCTTCAGAGATGCTAATTAATTTATATATATATTAACATATATATGTAATATTAACAGTTCAAAAAAACCTCTTATGTAATACTGCTTAACTGGAAACAGTACAGACATAAATTACTACCAGGACCAATACAATCCTCCATGATTACTGAGTGCTAATGCTAGCCTATGTGTTAAGTGACTTATTGATTTCAGTACAATGTGATTTCCCATTCACAGAGGATGGTGTTTAGTGTGAATGGATAAGTGCAGAGGCAGACAGGACAGTAATAAATAAAGACTCTCTCTGATGTGCCAACATGGTCCAGAAGGAAAGGCTTAAACATGGCAATAATCCTTCATCTGTCTGTTTACATTGGGGCCAGATGTTGGTTCCCTACACTTTGGAGACAGTATGGCATCACTGAATCACACAAATGGGTACTGGCCTCCCCTTCACGTCAACTCGCCACAGCTTATTTCACGGGACGACAAATGCTCTGTTCGTAGCATTATCCTCATGGCACAGATGCCGTGCCATGCAGACAGGGTTCAGATGGTGATGATGATTACAGAGCCATGCTTTGGCATGAACTCTTCAAGGGCATTACTTATAGAGAAGTAATTCAGTCTGTTCTCAACCTTTGGTCTGAAAAGACGACTCTGGATTTATACTGCTAAGAGGACAATGAAAGCAGTCTTTTTTTTTATAAAAAAGATGAAATTAAATTGATGAAGGGCTGCGAGGATTTTTTTTTAGGCTTAACTCATCAGCTTTTGGACTGGTATAAAGGCTTCATCCCTATTACTCTCACAAAAATAAAATCTGTTCTATGCAATCTGCTGTGAATATGTCAGAGGAAGAACTGAATACCAGCTAAAACCCTGCAGGCTGAGCACAAATGCATACAGCACAAATGCGCCGGCTGTTAAAAAATTTACAAAAAGGCCCTGTAGTAGGCTTTTCCACTCACTGGTAGAAGTCTGCTTTCTTCACAGCCTCCTCGCACCTCTTCAGGGTGGTGCTGTGCTGGTTCTGCAGGGATTGCAGGTCTGCCATCGCTTTCATGCACTGCAGCTTCAGACGCTCATAGTCATGACCTGTTTTTGAGTTTGGTCTATTTCACAAAGAGGGAGAAAGGCAGACATAATTGAGTTTTAAGACGCCACATGGGAGGATGAGAGACGGAAGAGCAGGATAAACATCATACAAACTTTGTGCCTATGTGAATACGAGCGGTATCATTAAAATTGTATGCTTACCCCTTGTTTTACAGAGTTGAGCATACTTTGCATCACGTAAGACCTACCTCGCTTGTGTTTTTTGTTGCTTTTAAAAGTTGAACAAGGCAAAATGCCTCTATTCACAAAGTGCAGGTATACACAGGACCACTGCTCTTTTCTGTAAATGTTTGTTTTGGAAAACAGGCACTAAGGTCACGAGATCAGTACAGTACCTGCAGTCATCGAAGGTGGTTCCAGGTGAAGAGAGAGCCAGACGTTTACGTAGTTCGTCCCTCTCGCGTGTCACGTGTCTGAGCTGGAACAGAACCGTCTCCATCTTCTCGTTCACCTGGTGGCTGTCCATGTGGGCGGGCGGAGGGGAGGAGGCTTGACCGGGCGTACCTGTGTGAGTCAGCATGTCACTGGTGGCATGTGCCGTTCACAAAGCTCAGATGATGGGGGAATTAGTGCAGCTCCATCGATTTCTTAAAAATGCTCAATCAAGCTAATTTAAGATTAAAAAATAAAACTGACATGTGCTCTCAAAAAACTCCAAAAAGTCCATGTCCTTTTTTTTTTTTTTTTTTTAACTTTTTACTGAAAACTAGAAAGACAAGATGAAAGCACGGACAAAAGACTAGTGTACTCACGAGTCTGAACTTATTTGGTTTAAAAATTAACCAATCACAAGCAAGCACTCTTTGTTGCAGCTACTGGACCAAAAATCGACATATTCATTTACAGTATGTAACGAGAAAACACCCCTTTAATCATTGCTCACATGTGTGCAGCCAAAATCAGTTTAATATTCTACTTCATTATTTATCTACCTCATTGTTGTACTCATTAACCTCAGTACTTGTGAATATATCACACAGAAATCCCCCCCGATAAATCCAAGCTCTGTTTCCCTAAGAGAATGACTAAATGAAACAGGTCTGTGCGTTTCTGTTTGTTTGTTTGTTTGTGTGTATGTGTGTGTGTGTGTGTGTGTGTTTGGGGGTAGAGGTTTCTAAATCCTTCTCACATCTGTGTAATCACTTGCATGTGCTTAGAGTCTAAACAGGCAGCAACCAATGACTGACTATTTGACTGAACATTATCTGCAGAGTATGAGTCTAAGGTTGCATCCTTTCAACATACTCGTTTTTTTCCAGGAAGATAATGTTCTTTTCTGACATTTCTACACCTGACACCTGAACACCACCGTGAGCGCCACACTCACCTAAGCTGCTGAGAGAGCTGCTGCTTTCGGAGTCCGACGGCATGGTGGACAAGATGCTGTAAGTGGACCCTGTGAGGCGAACAAAAACATTAAAGTCAGCTGTGCGTGTACTCGACCATGTCTGCATTATAGTAAGATGATTATCTTCAGCATTGTATGGTACATCAAGGCTCTGTGGCTTAGGTTACATTCAGGGGCATTTACTGAAAAAAGGCCAGCTGGAGGCATAATAAGGTGGGACTTTCCCCAACTTGGGATGACGGGCCTGTGGGCTGACAGCAGAGTGTGGCTAATTATCAGTTGGGCAGGGAGCTTGAATACTGACTAGCCAGGGCCCCAAAGAGGCTGCAGCCTCAGAGCTTCTCCTTTTATCTCCTCTGACAACATCACACAGTTCCCCCCTGTGAAAGCCCCTTCTTTTATAGCCTACAGTGATTCATAATTAACTGTACAGAAAGGAAGCCTCAGTACAACACTGTAAGTATTACGGAGAAGATTGTGTTATTTGAAAAAGCAACGTTAAAGTAATTGATGATTGTTTTCATCATTAGTAGACTACTGATTACTTTTTTTGTATTTAATTAAAGCCACTATGTAGAGAATTTTAATGTGTTTATAGCATTTTTTATGTCAGTCTGGGGCATATGTTCTTGAGAAGGTAAAGAAATGTAATAATCATGGTAAAAGCTGGGGCAGTCCGTAGGTAGATTGTACTAGTGGACAGCAAATTTTGGAAATAGCTACAACGATATATATCAATTAGAAATAGCGTGGGGCTGGAAATAACGATTATCATCATTGTTTAACATTCTGATTATCTTTTTAATCATCAATCATTAATCAAAGTGATAAAGTGATAATCATAATTACGTGATAACATCACATTTGTTTTTTTGTCAGACCAACAGTCCAAAACCCAAAGTTAAGTCAGTTTCCGGTCACATACGACAAAGCAGCAAACCCAAAACATTCGGAGCTGAAAGGTATTTTTAAACAGCAAAACATTCACTCAGAACATATCATGGTCAGACGGACATTTATTAAAGTCTCAAATATCAATGTCAGTCTCAATCATCCAGTTTTGAATTTCTCAACACAGTGAATAATCATTTAATCTATAAAATGCCAGAAAACAGTGTCCCAGAAATGTGTGTTTTGTTGGTTAAATTGCTTCGACATCACTCCCAGGTCTTTACTCTTTTCATCCAATGTGAATCTAATAAGCACCTCCACACATTTCCTCCTTTGGTGCTTAACATGTTTAACAGACTGCACAAGCCTTGATCAAACAGCCAGCAGTGCACATTTACTGAGATCTAACTTTGCCGTGGGACGAGCAGCTTATAGTCCGGTTAAATCAGCAACTTCCTCCCCTGATGTAAAGGCTAGGGCTCGACTCGGAGCGGGAGCATGACAAACGATTCTATTTACCCACGTCTCAGTACTCTAAATCAATCCCTGGCTGGCTGTGTTCCCACTAGCTAAGGGAGACTATGAGTTTGATTAAGACTGGAAGGAGCCCAGCTAACATGGCTCACCCCTCTTTTTCCCAGCAAAGGACTGAAAAAAAAAAAAAAAAAAAGACTGATGTGCCTCAGGAACCGTGGCATCCCATGGATCAAGCTCTCTTTGTTCTCGCTCTAGCTTAAGTTTCCCATGACTCTGTTTGAGCAGAGAGTGTCTCAATGGGCAAGGTTCAATGTGTCATAGCTCACTCACTTTTCTGCTCCGTGAAAGTCATGTGACCTGGACTTAGCTGTGGGTCTGACCCTCACTCAAGTATCTCATTTGGTGTGATCTCTTTTCAAAAGTCACAGCAACTTGGTGGAAATTTTCTGTCCTGTGTTAAAACAATACTCTCAAAGCTGAAGACAGGAGCAACAACAGGGAGTGCTGATATCTAAAATTACATCTGGTAATCTGCTCCACTGATAATGAATGAGTCTGCATATTGTGCCTTTTCCATGAAAAATGGCTCATGTTCTTACTCAGAGCTGACTCTCTGAAGTTAAAAAAAAAAAAACATTAGGGTGTAAAAGATGAAAACACTTTTTATACTATACGTGTCATTAAGGTCACATGTCTTATTCAGTGATCCAACGGGTCCAGGAAGTGTTGGTTGATAACAACATGGAGGAAGTCATAAAATAAAACTTTCACTGATAACCTATATCTGTGACCTATGTCAACCTGTTGATGTTAATATGGAGTGACAATCTGACCAGGTGAAGTATGCAAGAGGTTATTAACTGTACTGATGAAAAAGGCCTTTTTCACAGCAGACATTTTGACTCGCCATAGTGGGAAGAGCACAGGTTCTATTAATAACATTAACTTTCTATTGCAGAGTCTCAATAAGACATAGTGGTGCATCAGTGAGCAAGCATGTGCAATTTACAGTGCAGAGATTTCAGCACTCATTATGTTTTCACCTCTGCTTTTCCTCTACTCTAACATGTTAATAAGATGTCCGTGGTAACTGGTGCAACCCTACAAATTGCCTACCAAGAAGCTTTATACACATTTTTTCTTGGTACAGACATTAATTGTCTTTGTGAACTCTGGTGATCCTCTGACTTTTCAACTAGCCCCCATCATCAGGTCACAATTTCAATCTGTCCAAAACTTTGGTTTATTTATCTAACAGTTTGGATTTCTTTAACATGAGCGTTATAACCACATACAGTCACAAGCGTGGCTGTCGCAGAAGTCTTGTTTAAAGAAATACCCTTTGAAATCTACCACAGTAAAGCCTGATGAGGCCCAGTCATGGGTATGAAACAACTAAAAATAATTTTTGATTCTGCAATAAAATGCAAACTAGTGTCTGTGTTAATAGCCCATTGCAAAAACATGATTGAAACATCTTACATCTTTCCCCCTTAATAAGGAGAAGATCAAGAATGAAGGAAATTATAAAGAAAACATAACCTACTACCTACCATCCAGTCTTATTTCGCAGTAGCCCAAGGACAGCCAAAGCGAACACGTCAGCCACGATACACACCCTTATGATATGCTACCGTCATGTTATTGTTTTTCAAGAATAGGTTAGAACACTCTGTAAACAAAAGGTCGGGTAAAACTATAGAATATCTTGGTAAAAAACAAAACAAATGAGCCCTTGGGGATACACACCTTTTTAAGTACTGTGCAAGCATGCATCCTATTCACATCACAGTGAAATTCTTGCAGCTCGGTGATCATTTCAACAAGCTACTTTTAGCATCTCGGTTGTTGACATGGGACTGCCTGCTGTGTTTAACTAACAAAGATGCCCTCCCTCTTTAACATTGTTTTGATTTCAAAGATGATCTAGCTCCCTCACCCCTCTGGGACTGTGGGTGACTGGGGAGTAGCTCGACCAGGCTGCTGACAGTGCACATTATTTAAAAACATAGGCAGTAACAAGCTACTGTTTTACCGGGGAAAGGCCCTTCTTTTGGCTGCGCAGTGGAGGAACCTGTCTGCCCAGTAGCAGGAGGCAGCTCAGCCCATTTGCGTCCTGTGTGACTACCAACAAGGAGCTGCAGACTACACCAGACTACTAAAACCAACCCAGAACACGTCATGTGCAAACCTCTCCAGCAGCAGAAAGCCTATCAGTTTTAGACTCGGTGCACGATTGTGAAATGCGGCGCAAAAATGAAAAAGCTTAGAAAAATGGACTCATTCTGCAGCTTCAGTTCTCTTATAAATAATGAGGGCAGAATAAATGCATAATTAACACCTCACCATTCAGCTCACTGAGTATGACACGATAGCTGAGAGTGAACTAAATAACAAGCAATGCAAATGTTGCTTTTGAAATGCAAAAGGTGAAGTAGAGCAAGGGCCATGTACCATTGCTGCTGCTGCTGCTGAATATTAGGTAAATATAGCACATATGAATGAAGGATTTAGTCCTCAAAATATGACAAATAATCACCGGTTTGGTGAATTTGATGACAAATGTATTAGCATCATAAAAAGAGCATTTCTGTAGCTTTAGGACTCAGCTGTGAGGAAGAAAAACATATTTAGAGGAGACGGTGGCATATTTTTGTGAGCAAACAGGACTAAATTATTCTCATATTACACTAAATAAACTGCACAGAAGAGTAAATACATCCCAAAATATGAATATGAAATGAATACATTTTACTACAGAAACTGTGTACTGCAGAGTGCTGAAATAGGTCAATGGTAAATTGATTAGTTGAGTTGCCAAACATTTGCTGTTTGCAGTTTTTCAATTGTGAGGATTTGATGCGTTTGAGATGAAACGATAAGTCACTTAATAGATCAATAGAAAATTTAGCAGCAACTAGGCTGCTTTTCATGGTTATTTTTCAAGCATTTCCTCCTCCTTGTGTAATAAACTAAATAAGTTTGGGTTTTGGACTGTTGTTCAGATTAAATAAGCTATTTTAAAACGTCACCTTGGGATATTTTGTCCTGACATTTCATGTAAATAAAGAAACTACTCAGCAGACTAATCAATAATATTAATAACTGCTAGTCACAGCCTTACAAGCAATTTGCAGGCATCGACTCGGGTTCTGGGATTTGTGATTACCACCTTAAAACATTTTCTGGCATTTTATGGCCCCAAGAGTCACCAACAGATTCATTGATAATGAAAATAAGTGTTAGTTAGTGGCAGTTAGTTTTGTACCAAGACACAAATGAAACTGCCGTCTTCCATTCTCCACTATATTATCCTCCTGCAGTCTACAGTGTGCATTAACACACATTTAATTATTCGCTCATTCATTTGACTTTGACAGTGGGTTATTGATTCTCTCTCTCACACACACACACACCACTTCAGGCCGCCCTGCTGTCACTACATTGATTGTTTGAGTCATTTTTAGGTCCATTAAATGCTTTCACACAAGACTAGCAGGCTGTGCTTTTAGTGACATGGCAAAGGAAACAAGCACAGTAGTGTGAGTGTAAATAAGCATCAGGTCACATGATTGTGTTGTGTGCCCCCCCCCCTCTCTCTCCCTCTCTTTATTCTTGCCCAAAGGAAAAGTCATGCCCTTCATCAAGTTGTCATATGGTCAATAACCCTAATGTTAGTTAGATCATGCTCAGAGCAAGGATCGAAAACAGGTTGGATAATAACCAAAATACACACACTAGTCCTCTAAAACATATTGTACATCACTCTAATGGAGCTTCCATACTAACCTACTTCAATACATAGTGTGTGTGTGTGTGTGTGTGTGTGTGTGTGTGTGTGTGTGTAGATAGGTCCTATTGCCCCCTTCTTACCAGTTGTGTGATCCACTGGGCCGGTACCATTCAGCAGCACAGAGTGCAGGTGAGGGTGAGTCTTCTCCAGGGCCGTGCAAAACTCTGCGAAATGGTCTCTGTCCTTGCTTATCAGGATCTTCAGGAGAAGGTCCACTTTTTCCGAGTTGGAGGCGCAGTTGTGTCCCAGCTCGTAGCGTTCAGACTGGCTGAGGGTCCCGCAGTGAGCCAAAACATCCACCACTCGGTCCGCTTCTGTTATCGACTCCACCAAGTTCTGGTAACATTTCTCCAACAACTCTTTATGCTTTGGCTCCATCTCTCTCTCTCTCTCTCTTTCTTTCTCTTTATTTTAAAAACCGAACCAGCTTCGGGGACAAATCCAGCTCACTTAATCTTTTTTCTGTGCGGTCAACTTCCAACTTACGTGCTAAAACTGTGGCGACGACTCCCCGAAACTATCCCGCTCGGCCCACTTGGGACGGTTTTCAACCCGAATTGAAGGATACACAAGAAGTAGCCATA